CCTCTCTCTCTCTCTCTCTCTCTCTCTCTCTCTCTCACACACACACACACACACACACACACACAAGAATACAGCACGTTGTTGGCGAAAGATTTTAAAAACGCTTGAGCATCGAGAATTGGCGGGGAATGACAGACAAAAGTAGGCAAGAGCCAGAGAGACCAGAGAAGGGAGGTCGCAACATGGTAGGAAGACCCAAGATGACCTAATGAGCATAGAGGACGAGGAGGGAACCAGGAGGGGGGAAAACAAAGAAAAGGAAACAGCATGGGTGGTCGCAGCGGGGGAAGGGCGCCAGGAAGGGGGTACCGTGCCAGCAGGGCAGGGCCCACGCCACACAACGCAACACGAAGGAGCGGAAAGAGATACAGGATGCGAGATACAATGAACAAGGCGTGAATACAAGGATGTGGCGGCCTGGTAACTTGGGGCATATACTCAGACTACAACTTTCCTGGATGCATCTGACCACATTTGCGACCAGCTTCGCTCGAGAAAGTCCTAGTCTGAGTATGCCCTTGGACTACATCGGAGAGGCAAAAAGAAGAGGGATGCAGACATCGGGCATTGAAAAGATACTTCGACAAAGGTTCAATGAAGGTTCTCAATGATGATCGGCTCTCATTGAGCGACGGCCAGAGAAAAGAAGCAAGAAGATGGCGTCGCGTGGCATGGCATGGCAAGGCAATGTTCAGTCCAATCAAGATCCGACAACTTATCCAACGACATCCGATTCGACATCAGATCAATCCGCACGTGAATCACAAAGATTGAGGAGGCCGTGTGGACGCACATGGTATCGCATTGCTAATCTTCTTCCTTGTCAGGGGGTAGACCGCAAGGTAGGAGCATCTTCTGCATGAAGTTGTACATTTCTCGCCCGATAGACTCGTTCTCGGCGATGGCGAAGTACGCGAGCAATGGGCCGTGCCCGATATACGATGCATAACTGTCCCGCTGAATATTGACTGCCCATTCGAATCTGTTCAGATCAGCATGCCCCGTTCCCACATACCTGGCTTGAAGGTGCTCAAGCTGACTGTTGATGTTGAAACGGTCGCTGGCCTGCATTTTGCCGTCAAAATCTAAGACCAGAAAAAATTTACAACCCTGTTGCAAACCCTGCGCTGGCCCAGAATACCCTCCTTCCACCCGCCGAGCCAACTCTCTCTCTCTCTCTCTCTCTCTCTCTCTCCACACCACAAGAACGTCGACCGACTAGTCACCGATGCCTTCAACACCGCCTCGTGCGTTGGCAGGCTCCGGCGATGGCTGTAGAAGAAGATCAATGATTCGTGATAACATCAACTCGCTTGAAGTTTTCAACAATAGCAATGCTCATGCGCCTGCGTATGTGGCCTACAATAGAAATTTCAGGACAACAATTTTAAGCAAGTGTAAGCGTGTTGATCATTCTGGAAGACAACCAATGAGCTGCAGGTTTAATTTAGGGTAGTGTTTGACACCACTATAATTGGGAAGGGAAAAGAAAGGCACAGCCTCATTCAAAAGCAACCGTTTTTTATTTTTTAAGCCCGGGGTGTTGTAGAGGACCAGACCCGCGGTACTTGCTGGTAGCGGCAGCCAATGGTTGTCCTGACAGGATAGGCCACCTACCCTACCCATCCCCACATTAATACTCCCAGCGCACCCCCTGTCCCTACTATCCTACCTCAGTGTGACCAGCACTCAGGACCATCACCCTGCCAGTATCAAGGGCAACTTGGACCAGACAGCAGTGACAAGCGCCAAGGCTGGGCCAACCTCCCAGCCCTGATGGAAGCGGAAGCGGACGGACCTTGCCGTACGGGAACTTTGGATGCCAGGCTCATGCAATCTTCTACAGGCCCAATTCAGAGAGTCTACCCAGCAGGATTACCTGAGCAAGGCAGGCCAGCGCCCCAAAACATCCTACCGTCCTTCCCCTAGCTTACCCAAGGCTAGGCGGAACTCAGACTAGCCGGAGCGACTTATATCCCTACCCCTACCCTAGAGCTAAGCCATGCATGAGTAGACCCCATCATATACCTGATAGACCCCCCCAGCCCAGTATTGTAGTTGTGTGTATGTGTGTGTGCCCAGAGGCTACGTATGTTTGTATGAGCCCATAGGGCCATGTGTTTTGTATCTGCCCGAAGGCTATGTGCGCTCTGTGTAACTGTATAGGGAGATGTATGTGCCCGAAGGACAGATATGTGCAGTACTACGTAGAGGGAACTATGTGTTCGTTCGAAGAGATGACAGGCCAAGCTGTTCAAGAACCCCCCCCAAAGTCCCAAGCCAGACTCGAACCCATGATCTATGGCATGTGACCTGAAGACTCTACCAGTTGAGCAACAATCGCAAACAGCCCGTGTGTGTGATATGCCTGACTGGGGAGATCACCAGAACAACCACGAGCAACAGCCACAAGCAAACCCACGCAATGTCAAGACCCAACATACAACACCATCGACAACCCTTGGGTGGTGCGCAGGCAGTCTCTGTATAAGCTTACCGTGCGTCAGCCCAAGGGAATGTGTGTCCAGCCGTGCGTTGTTCTAACCCCCTGCCGGTGTCCATGCGCAAGGCTGCAATTGAGTTTTGAACCCGCAACCTCATACCACAATGCGCATTTCCAACTGGTGCTCTAACCACTGAGCTACATCATTCAAAAGCAACCCTAATCACCTGTGAAACATTGTTTTCACATCTTGACACAGTGAGGCACCCTAGCACCGACAGAGAAAACGTCAGCCTGCGACAACATCCGAGCCACCTCTCAAAGCACTCTAGGTATTTTGGTCCAGCCTAGATTAATTACCAAGTACCAAGTCACTGGCGCACCGCGGCGATGCCGCTGCAGCTTCTGCGATGTCATGCGGCCTGGCCGTGCAAACAACCCCCCAGACGAAAAAAGCCGTCACAAAACACACACAACGAAAAAACAGACAAGCGTAGCCCGAAATGAATCGGGAGCAGGGGAGAAGCGGCATGACATTGCCCACACAGGGACATTATTGACAGAGCTCTTGAGAGTACAGTCAGAGACATTCAAAAAGGCTTTCCGAGTGTGCCCTAAGTAGCAGTGTGAGCACAAAGGCTGAGTGTGAGTATGAGAGAGTTAAGCACAAGGCTGACACACGCACTGATGGTTACAACATACCAACATTCATCGCAGTAAAATCAACAGAGGATGGTAAAGAGAGAGAAGGAGAGAGAGAGAGAGAGGAAGGAGGAAGAAACACACAGATGTCCCGAACACAACTTTTATTGAAAAAATATATGTCAAGCATGGCGGACGACCGTACCGGTTTCACCAGGCCGCCAACATGGATTATCAAGGGTCTGAAAGTCAATGTCACTGACATCATAACTTCGAGTTATATACTCAATACTGACAGCGACAGACTCGTTCAAACCAAAAGTCCAGAAGCTTCATACACAAGCCGCAGCAACACTACATCGCAGACACAAAGGTTCAAATCCCAACCAAAACTAACAAAGACTGAAAAAGCTCGGCACTATCTAACACACCAGTCATCCCGCCTTAATTTTGACGAGAAAAAAAGAAAAAACGAGCTACAGTAGCCAGGTCCGAGGCCCACAACTGAAAACGGGCCGACTCCATTTGAAACCCGGTACCATGGGCGGGACTTTACCACATATCACCAACCCAAGGCTAAAAAGCAACAGCCCCCTAATCCTAGAGCCCTTCAGACCACCTGCAACCCCCCAGAAAGTTACCCCACTTGGCCTAAGTCCCAGTGTCAGTGTGCCCTAATACATTGAAAAGAAATCCCAGTGTGAGTATCCCCGTCTGTCCACTACAACTCTCTACATAAATTTGGATGCATTTTGTGCCTGATACATTAAAAAAACTTGGACATCTCTGCACGTGGTGGAGCACTCGTCCAAATGCATGTAGAGCGAGGCCCATATCCTTTTTTTTTTGCTGTATATATATATATATATATATTTGATGATATATTGTCACATGAAATATGACAGACCTTTCTTTGTTTCGTGGGTGTTTTGCTGGCTTGTGATGGGGTGTGAACCGACAGTCTGTAGAGTTTTCCATCTGGTGTGGGTGAGTGATAGTCTACTTTGATTTTGGTAAAGGTGGATTATCACTTACAGTGTAATCAGTG